GTTTGGTTTGGTTTGGTTTGGTTTGGTTTGGTTTGGTTTGGTTTAGTTTAGTGCCATAAGAGACTACACTGTTGAAAAGATCTTTAGAGAGAGGAGTCATCCACTAAAATCATCAGTTCTTTTATATTTTTTATATACTGTTACCACTGACGCAATCGTACTCATGAACAAACCTTATCTGAAGATAGCTCCCAAAGTTATGAGGCTAGTAGATCTTTATAAAAGAATAGGGACCACTTCAAAGGTAAATGGCTATGTCTCTAATCTAGATTTACACAAATTAAGTTAAATATTATTATCCATGATGGCCCATTGGCTTTCAAAAGGTCACAGGCCAACAGATAACGATAATCTCTAAAGTCCAGGGGCCATCAAATCTTCCTTTGCTACAGAACCCCTGCAATGATACAGATAGATAGATAGATAGATAGATAGATAGATAGATAGATAGATAGATAGATAGATCATTTGATTACTAAATGATGAACGTGATTTTATACTTGTAAATGTTTTTAGGCTCTGACTTTATCTAAGAAGTTTCCTCTGAATGGCTTTCTGTTCAGACTTCTGTCTCCTGCACCTGCATCTTCTCTGACCAGGGAGCCTTTGGCTGCCCATCAGCTAGTTGGAAATGGCTGAGGGTCTAAGCCCTCCAGTGGGTTTTCATTTGCTGGAACTGAGTGGGCCTTAGGAAATCACAGACAATACAAATGGAATACGGGGCATGTAATATTCTGATTCTAGACCAACCCTTCACCTATCTGTTTTACAAGCTGAGTGTTAAAACTTTGGGCCCCCCAAAAGGGGCTGGCCTTTTGGACTATTCTCGGAGGGCTGGATGGTCAGAGCAAGTCTGGCCTTTTCTCCATCTTGTTCTTTATTGTTGCCTCTCACTGCCCCATCAGATTCCACACCTTCTCATTCCACAGATCTCTGACCCTCAACCTTGGTCCTCCACTCTGCCCTCAGAGCCTCCTTCTCGGCTTGTCCGAACTGCAAGTTGACTCAAACACTCCAGGTGTGTCTCACCTCCTACAATGTGAATTGTCTCAGAGAGAGCATCTTCTAAACATACCTGGTGCTTCTCCAGAGAGGTGATGCCTGCCACCTGCCACTTGCCCTGCTGACATCACCATGGGGCTTGCTGGAACAGAGTCCCTTCCCTCTCCTACCACCCACCCTATTAGGTCTGTATGCTAGGCCTCTCATCCCAGAGGGTCCCTTCATCATCCTGGGGCGACATCTCACTGCTCCCTGTGAGCAATGAAATCACGTGCTTGCTCTGCATCGTCCCACAAACCAACCGTCTGCACACCCCCACCCACTCCCGCCCCCTCCAGAGCTATGATGCAGGAAAACTGAGGACACCTTAGAGATGTATGGATAGATGGGAGCACATAGCCAGAGAGGGCAGAACCTTTCCCAAGGTTATCAGCGCAGCCGGGAGCACAGGCAAGACCAGAACCAGAACTCCAGATGGTCAGTCCAGGGCTCCTTGCAGAAGCAGCGACGTGTGGCGGGGAAGCAGGATGGATGACTAAGGCCAGAAGGCAGTGTCTCTGCTCCTTGGCTCCCATCACTTTCATCCTGGCTTCTCCTCCCCACTTCCCATCCAGTGACGAGACGGCTCTCACCAAAGTCACCAACGCCTCCCAAATGCCAAGGTCAGTGGTTCTGTTTCCATCCTTAGCCTTCTTGATCTCTGCAGGGGTTGGCCTAACAATCCACTCTCTCCTTAAAACACCATCCCCTGGTTCCGCTTCAGCTTCTCCAGATGCCCTCCTCATTCTCCTACACCCACTCCCCTTTCTCCTCTTGCACCTTGAGCGTTGCTCCCCGATATGGCACTGCCCTCTGCCCTCTTCTCAGTCTACGTACTCAGACCCGTCCCACCTGACATGGTGAGATTCAGAATCAGAAGCACTGCCAAGCGTTTGTACCGCTTTCCAGTCGGGCCCTGGGTCCTGGGACTCATCATCGTCTAATTTGGGATTTCTTATGAAAGAATTGTCCTTCGACAACTCTACTGAGAAGTTCTTCTAAAGAATGAACCAAGTCTAAGTGGAAATCCAGATCAGACACCGCCCCCCGCCCCCCGCGAGTTATCACCTGGGAGATAAAGAAATGGCCCTTCCGCCTCAGAGTCGAGCGATTGGAGGACTGGACAGGACTCAGTCTCAGTACATCTATTTCCTGTCGAAGCCTCTTGGAGGCCGAAGTCTCACCTTTCCGTTGGTCATCCCGTCTCCCGCCTTCCAACCCAAGTGAAAGTATTGTCAAGTACACTTTTTATGTCTCATAAAGTTAATCGCCCACCAGGAATCAATAGAAAGAAGCTATACAAATGCAAAGGGCAACGAAGCCAAGACCAGCCAGCTTACACTTCACCCAGGTAAGAGGCCATTATCACTCCACAGAGGACTCTTCCCCGCACCCAAGACAGAAGTCATCCCGCCATCCAAGGATACCCCCCACCCTCCACTATGGGATGTAAGTGCTCGACGAATATCTTTTGACTGGACTCAATCTTCTAGGAGAAAAAAGAAGAAGTTAACATTTATTGAGTCCTTCATGTCTCCCAGGTTATTCTGCTTCATGTCCCCTGTCACCTGCATTATGTTGTTTTCTATTCGAATAATACAGAGTGGCATTATCTATGTGTTAAGAACAAGCAATCGGAAACATTTGGGGCTCAGAAAGGTCGCATAATTGGCCTGAGTCCATACCATTAGGAACCGGTGGAGCTGGATTTGAATCCCTGTCTGTGTCCTTTGAGCACCTCATCCTGTCAGGTCTGCACTGCTGGCCCCAGGACAGAAATAAAGCATGTGATGATGGCAGTGATGATAATGTCACTGTCCTTGGTGTCCTAGAATCACAATGTTCCAAGCTACTTGCTCATGGTGAGAATGAATTGGCTGTGATCCACCCACCCTGTCTTGCCCTTGACCATCAGAGGTTCCCCCGGTGACAGGAGCTATAAACACATGACCACGGCTAAAGGCAGGGCTCTATTTACACATATAGAGATTGACAGGCAACTGAAAGGGTACAGTAAGTAAATGTTAGCAGTGGTGCACCCACCAGTCTCTAATGGGACTGGGGTGCAGCCTTCAGCAAATGTTACTCAGCAAAACACCAACACAAACCAAGCAGGAAATAAACTAGATGGAAAGATACAACCAGGCAATAAAGAGCATTTCCTCCTTCAGCCACCAGCCCCACACTAAGAAGGAAAAACACAAATAGGGCAGAGGAAGAAGAACAGAAAACTGCCTGTGAGAGTCGCCCTCTGCGACCGCCTCTTTCTCTGAATGTAAGGAAATGAATCCTCCTCTCCCTCGATGATTCCTGCTACCTCCTCACCTCAGTCACCCGCTTCCATGATCATACCTTTAGCTGGTCATTTTCACAACTACACCGTTGCCCCCGCCCACTCCAAGAACCTCAGTCGCAATGTCTGTCTCTCCAACTTCCACCTCCTCCTTTTCCAGCTCGTGGCCCCAAGTCCTATAGTTCTCAACTCCAACAGGACTTACAACCCTTCAATCTCCGACCTTTTCACTGGCTGCTACTGCCTTCCCGCCCTGATCCGCCCGTTAGACCTGCATGGCCCACTTGCAGGTAGGGAGGACGGGGCTTGTTGTCTCGTGCCCGTTTGCCCGATGAGAAGGCTGAGGCTCAGAGGAGTTAGAGATGACGCCTTCTCACTGCAGGAGCGCTGGCAGACAGGAGGACAAGAGAGGCCTCCTGGGGCCTCTGGTCAGACCTGGCACATGGTCGCTTCTGCCACATTCTGTTGGCAGAGGAAGTCCCAAGGCAGCCCAGTTTCAAGAGTTTGGGGAGACGGACTCCAGCTCTAGCTGCATGGGTGTGGGTACATGGAGTAGGGGAGGGCTAGGGTCATTTTTGTAATCCACTTGCCACACCGTTCTACCCCTGATTTAGCTGAGACCTGCCCAGGCCATTCCTGAGCAACCCCCCACCACCATCCTGAGCCCACAGGTCCAGGGTCATCTCCCTGCCTTTGCACACAGGCCTCGGGGGCTATTCTGGCAAGACACGGAATCCGGAAACTGATGCACGAATTATCTGTGCCTCTGCCACTCGAATACCACTTTGTGTGCCTACACACACACACACACTCGCACATGCGCACACACTCACGCTCACACGCGCATCCACCAACACGTGTTCCCACCTCAGACACCCACATTCAGATACGGTCACCTAGTCACACACTCACACGTGTTCACACGTGTTCACACTCACACGTCCTCTCACTGACATACCCTCACACATGTTCTCACACTCACACGCATGCTCACACCTGCACACACTCACTCTGCCCCTGCCACCGGAAAGCTGTGGACTA